TTATTTTTTTGAACAAATTTATAAAAGACCCGAAATCGAATCGTTACTTAAAATAAGAATGCACTTTGGTCTGAGAGTGCTGACTATGAAAGCCCGAGTGCAATTTATTAAAGTTATTTTAATTTTTTAAATTAATAAATATTCATTACTTTTACCATTCGATTCATAGTCACGGCAAACGTTTGAAGTCGGCCCAGGACAAAATATTCAAAAAAAATAAATAAATATTCATGACATCTTAATTATGTATCACTCTCTAATTCTGACTTAATAACCTATTATCTCTTCGCTCCCTCGGTAACGAAAACCCAAAACCCAAAAACTGGGCTCGCGTTTTGATTCTTTCCTGCAGAGAAGAGGAACGGAGCACTAAAACCCTAAGCGGACGGTGAGTTTCTCATCTCTCGTTCTCATCCTCTTCCTCTTTTGGGCTGTGTTTGTATTTTGTGCTTTTGTTACGGTACAATCGTTACAAATTTACCTGCAAATTTTGGGTTTTGCGTTGTATGCTAGAGTTTCCTCTGGTTTTAAATTTGCATGTTACTCTTAATTTCTTTGCTACCAAGTGAAAAAGTCTGCTGTTGTTTATCTCTTTTGCTAATCATGGTTGATTAATATGTTGTTTATGAACTGAATTTGCTCTTGGGGTTTCATGTGCCTCTGGACATATAATTTGATTGAATTGTGGAAAATGTATGAGGAAGGAACAAGCATTTGGTTCTTCTTGGAATTAACTTGTCTTATCAGAGGGTTTTTTTTTTTACTTTTTAATATTAGCTTTCATTCAATTTCTGGTCTTAGCAACTGTTGTGATTAATGGTGATAATCTACGAATCATACAATCCCCAACTTTTCTTTTTAAGTTTGATTTTACTTTTGGTTATTGGTGCTGTAATTGCTATTGGATGAGCAATCTCTATTTTGTGGAGGGTTGGAATGATTATGGTTTTCGTTTTTAATTTGGGATGAACATCGTCAGAATCAAAAGCTCTCTATTGTTGATCTGTCTCAAGGTTTGAAACACGTCTCTGTTGATCCTAGTGCCCCAATGAATTATGTGGAAGATGATATCTCTTCGGGCTCTGGAGATGATATGAACACAGTAGATGGACATAACAAGCGGCAGTCTATGACGCCATCAGGTTCTGCTCAGCGCAAGAGAAGTCGTAAGGCTACTGGTGATGCTATAGTGGATGCTATGCTGGAAATAGCAGCTGCTTCAAAGATGAGAGCATCTACAATTATGAGGAATGATGACCGCTTTTCTATAAACAAATGCATAAAAGTATTGGATGAGATGCAAGGTGTTGATCAACAAAGTTACTTTTCTGCCTTGGATTTATTTGAGAACTCTAGTGCCAGAGAAATCTTTATTTCCCTTAAGAGTGAGAAACGATTGCTATGGTTGCAGGGAAAGTGTAATTCTTTGTCTGGTTAGATAGTTTAATGGAAGTCACTGTACGTTTTAGTCCTAACATTTGGTTTTGGTCCATACAACCATAATGCTGCCTAGAGCTTCTATGCTTGTAATTAGTTTGACTCCGACTGTTTCATTCAATTTACTAATCTTAAATAATAGTTTGAGGCTTCAATTTTATTCATTGTCCTTCGTATTTAGCTTTGGAGAGGCATTCAGCACGGGTGATTTGTTTTTAAGAATGATTCAGTGTGAATATAACTGATAATTTGCATTATGTTTTCGAGGATACATGCTTTATTTGATTATATTTTGCAGATAAGTGTAGTAGCATGGATTACATTGACTTGGAATTGGACGAGATGGAATTAGCTGCAGCGGCTGCTGGCTACTATTATTATAATACTACAACTAATTAGGCTGTTCGTAGTTCATCACCTCATAGAAGAGGATATCTGAATGAAGTATCTTTCATAATTTCGCTGAGAGTCATTCAAAACCCTATTAAGGTGCCACCCATGGCTCTACTAAGTTGTCATTCATTCTCTCATTTAGTCTTGTCTAATAATTAATGTAATCCCTACATCTTCCTTATGTTATATATAAACCTATAAGTTTGTATGATTTATATATGAAAAAAATGATGAAATAAGAAATTTTTACTACAAAACTTTGTTACCTTATTACCTTTCTTTTATTTATAATATGTTATTAGTACGATTGTTTCCATTATCTAATTTGTGGAAAAATCTTAAGGTCAATCCTTGAATTTCTAGTTTCAATTGTTTTTGTATTATGTTAATATTTGATGAATTTTTGTAATCATAATGTTAAACTCGACAAAACTTGAATTTACTGCCATTGAAATAACATATTCAAATTATTTGCTACGAATATTTGATACTACAATTTACTTGGCTAAAAACAATATTGAAGAAACAATTGTTGAAGGAAATCAAGTATCTTTATAAGATCATGTTAAAATGATCATATTTCTTCCCCATCATCTTCATGAGGAATTGAAAGCAGAATATTTAATAATTAAAGATCCATTAGAATTATGACAAAATTTGAAAGAAAGATATGATTACTAAAAATTGGTTATCCTACCAAAAGTTCGTTATGAATGGATATATCTACAGTTGCAAGATTTAAAATTTTTCAATGAGTATAATTCTATAGAATTTTGAATTTTATTTCAATTAAAATTATAAAAAAAAAAATACTAATGAATACATTTTTGAGAAAACATTTTTGCACTTCTCATGCTTCGAATTTGCTTCTTCACTAATAATATCAAGAGCATGGTTTTAAAAAAATTTAGAATTGATATCATGTCTTCTTTTTGCTAAGCAAAATAATGAGCTTTTGATGAAAAATCATCAATTATGACCTATTGGTTTAGCCTAATTACCTAAAGTGAATGCAAATCTCATATGATAATAAAGGTTGTGGTCATGGCAATACATACAGTTGAGAGTGTGGCTACGGTTGAAATAACATTTCATATTGTAGTGGTTTTACCCTTCAAATATGAACTTGCTAAACAAAATAATGTAAGAGATAAAAATTTACAAAAAAAAAAAAAAAAAACCATATAAAAAATTCTGAGAGCATTGGTTACCAACGTGGAGTGAAAGGATATTAAGAGTGTGGTTGTCACACAGCTAAGTATTTGGTTGATCTTTAACAAGCCTCACTTAATGAAAAGGAAAACGATTCATATATGAATTTTATTGAATATAACAATATTTATCTTGATGCACACTTTAATATTATAGATTTTTTAAAATGTTGAAAAGTTTAATTGGGTTGGTGATAAAAATATTCAATTAAAAGTTTGACTTATTGTGTTCTTTTAAGTAATTTGCCTTTAGTGGTTATTTCCCTTTTCTACATCTTATGTTCTTTTAAATTAAAAAAGAATAAATTATTTTAGAATATATATATCAGTTTTTCAATATTTGAATATTTTCCTCTTTTGTTTCCTTTGTCTATATTTTAAGACCAAATTGACTTGAATAATGTTAAGAACAATTATGGAGACATATATTTTATTGATAGTGGCACATTACATACCATCTTAAAAATATAATTTTTTTTTCAATTAAAGTTAGTCGAAGCTAATGTTGACACAATATTTGGTATGACAAATTTGATTAAAGGCTTCGGAAAAGCTTGTATTTTGTTGCTTAGGAAGCAAAATTATTAATATATAACACTTTGTATTCTAGTAGATAAGACTAAAATTGACTAAGTTTTAAAGATATAGCTTGTAATGATTTTCACATTAAAACTATAAATGAAAATAGAATAAATAGTCTCGATGTAGCCACTTTTGCATTAAAAAAAAAATTGAAGAGATTGAATGATACTTATATACATCTAATAAAATCTAATGTTGTGACTAACCATAAATTAATCAATTCAAATACCTTTATCTTTCGGTATAATTGACTTGGTTATTAAAGTGCTATTATGAGTGCTATTATGATACATAGAATTATAGAAAGTTTACATAGACACTCACTAAAGAACTTGAAAATTCTATTATTAAGTAATTTTTGTTTGTTGCATACTTTTTTGGTAAATTAATTATCGGCCTTCTATAATTAAAATAGAAAATGAATCTCTTTTATTTTTGAAATGAGTTTAAGGAGATATATATGGGCCTATAAGCCCACTATCTAGACCATTTCAATATTTTATGATGTTAGATAGATACTTCAATCAGATGGTAATATGTTTGGCTATTATCTGTCTAAATAACAGTTAAAAAATGCATCTAAGGAAATAATTCTAGAAGATGTTCAAGTGCTTGAAAACAATAAGGATGCAGAAATTATAAATAATGATTAGATTTTAATAGTTTATATTTCTTTTCGTATATAGCAAAATTGGAATGATGTTATTGAGGATTTTTTTCATATGCAATATCCAGTGATGTAATCAATCAAAATAAGGATCTTGAATCAACATCCATTGAAGAATGTCCATAAGGTGATTATTCAAAATGGAAATATGCAATTCAGGTAGAATTGAAATAATTAAAAAAATGCCAAGTTTTGGATCAATTGCCATAACACTCAATAATGTAAAGTCTATTGATTACAAATGGCTCCACTAACATTCATGGCTTTACTAAGGTATCATTCATAATGTCATTTAGTCCTATTCAATAACCAATGTAGCCCCCACATTTCTCTTAAGTTATATATAAGCCTGCAAATTTGTAAAATTTGTATATTATGAATATGAAATACATGATAAAATAAAAAATTCTTACAGTAAAGCTTTGTTACATTGCTTAGTTTTCCTTTTATTTTATAATAAAATGCTGCATTTTGGGTCATGAAAGAAAATAATGAAAGCTAAGGTTAAGAAATAATCAAGATTTCAGTCTTCCCATTTTAGCCTAGACATCAAGTATATAAATTAACTACAAGAAATTTGATCATCAATGACAATTGTTGATTACCATTAGCCACTGAACTCATGCTCATTACTAGGGTCGTTTGTACTCTTAATCACAAACTTATGGTTTAATTTAAGACATCACTGATTGTTAGGGGTGGCCATTAGTTGATCTAATTGGGGACTTGATTGAACAAATTTAGGATGAAACCAATTAATTAATTTCTCTTTTTTTTTTTTAATTTTTTAAAATTTTTTAATTTTTTTAAACTTGATCAAAGATAGGTCATTCTTGTAGAAATTAAGAAATCTATGAAGAATTTACACCCTCCGAAAAAAATTGAACCTGCTAAACAAGTTAGGCTCAACTTTTTGACAACGTACTAGTATTGTAAATGTGTAATTTATTTATCTCAAGGAAAAAACCAACCGGTTAAAAGAAAATTAGCATTTGGATCCTGCTCCAATGACGGCCCAAATATTGAACTGTAGAGTGTAGGCGTGGACCCAGATACACCAGTCCACGGGCCGTCCATTCCTGAAGGTACCATTGGGCCCGTTTGACTAAAGTTTTTTACGATCAAATTTCATCTACCGGAAAGGACCAAAAAAAAAAAAATCACTTAAATAGAACCAAAAAAAAAATCGTGCTTCAAGTTGGGACTGCACTTTAACTTAAAATATTTTGATTGGAGCGAGTATTTGATATTGGAGTGTATTACTCCATTCAATAATTTTTACTTTAGGAAAAGAGAAAAGGGATTTTGTGGGATTTGAACGTATAATTTATTGGAGGTGGTAAGGTACAATACCATTACGTCAGAACGGTCGTTTTTTTTATTTTATTTTATTATAATTTAAATTATAAAATATAATATTTTAAACATAAATAAATATAAAAAAAATCATAATGTGTTTAGAATAAGGTATGATTATATTTATTATTAAATTTGTTAAGCGGCTAAAAGTTATTTATTTTTTTATATTAATTTAATTATTAAAAATAATTAATAATTAATAAAATAATTAATATTTATTATTTAATAAATTAAACTTTATAAATAAATTAATAAAATTACAACTAAATTAATGTCTTTAATAAATTTAATGGTAGGAATAGCCTCAACAATTTAGTCTCTTTGTTTCTTAAGTGTTATTTCATTAACGGCAACACTATAATTATAATGTCAATTTATATTATAACATTTTATTAAATAAGTATAATATTATATTAAAAAATAAATGTATATAATATTATAAATAATTCTTGAATAAAAATTAATCATATAATAATATAATTTTATAACTATAAAACTTTGGATTCACTAAAAGAGTTTTAATTATAAAAATAACTTAAAAATTAAATTATAATAATTAAATGTATAAAATATAATATAAATCTTAATTTTATCAAATTTAACTATTATTATATTTTCTGCCTGCCTTGATTTTTCCTTTTTCGTTTAATTTTAATTATAATAATAATAATTATTTCTCATATTTTAATTATAAATGTCGCCTCATATCACTCCCTAAGAGCGTCTTAATACCTATTGTCTCTTCCCTTCTCCTTTTCTGTAACGAAAACCCAAAACCCTAAAATTGGATTCGCTTTTTGATTCTTTCCCGCAGAGAAGAGGAACGGAGCACTAAAACCCTAGCGGACGGTGAGTTTCTCATCTCTCGTTCTCACCCTCTTCCTCTTTCTGGCTGTGTTTGTATTTCAAGCATTTGTTACTATACAATTGTTACAAATTTACCTGCAAATTTTGGCTTTTGCTTTGTATGTTAGAGTTTCCTCTGGTTTCCCGGAGAATGGGGTGTGCGAAAATTTGTATGTTACACTTAATCTTTTTTGCTACCAAGTGAAGAAATCTGCTGTTGTTTATCTCCTTTGCTAATCATGGTTGATTAATATGTTGTTTATGAACTGATTTTGCTCTTGGGGTTTCATGTACATTTGGAGATATAATTTGATTAAATTGGGGAAAATGTATAAAGAAGGAAGTAGCATTTAGTTCTGTCTTGGAATTAACTTGTCTTATCGGAGTTTTTTAGACTTTTTAATAGTACCTTTTGTTCAATTTCTGGTTTTAGCAACTGTTGTGATTAATGGTGATAATCAACAAATGATACCATCCCCAGCTATTTTTTTTTCTTAAGTTTGATTTTACTTTTGAGATAGCCTCGTTATTGGTTCTGTATTTGCTATTTGATGAGCAATCTCTGTTTCGTGGGGGGTTGGAATGATAATGGGGTTCATTTTTATTTTGGGATGAACATAGTTAGAATCAAAAGTCTCTATTGTTGATCTGTCTCAAGGTTTGAAACACATCTCTGTTGATCCTAGTGCCCCAATGAATTATGCGGAAGATGATGCCTCCTCGGGCTCTGGAGATGATATGAACATGGTAGATGGACATAACAAGCGGCAGTCTATGACGCCATCAGGTTCTGGTCGGGGCAAGAGAAGCCGTAAGGCTACTGGTGATGCTATAGTGGATGCTATGCTGGAAATAGCAGCTGCTTCAAAGATGAGAGCATCTACAATTATGAGGAATGAAGACCGCTTTTCTATAAGCAAATGCATTAAAGTATTGGATGAGATGCAAGGTGTTGATCAACGAATTTACTTTCTTGCCTTGGATTTATTTGAGAACCCCAGTGCCAGAGAAATCTTTATTTCCCTTAAGAGTGAGAAACGATTGCTATGGTTGCAGGGAAAGTGTAATTCTTTGTCTGGTTAGATAGTTTAATGGAAGTCACTGTACTTTTTAGTCACAAGATTCACAATATTTGGTTTTGGTCCACATAAGCATAATGCTGCCTAGAGCTTCTATGATTGTAATTAGTTTGACTTCATCTGTCTCGTTCAGTTTACTGATCTTAAATAATAGTTAATGGCTTCAGTTTTATTCCTTGTCCTTCGTACTTAGCTTTGGAGAGGTACTCAGTGTGGTTGATTTGTTTTTAAGAATGATCCAGTGTGAATATAGCTGATAATTTGCATTATGTTATACATGCTTTATTTGATTGTATTTTACAGATAAGTCTACTAGCATGGATGATATTGACTTGGAATTGGATGAGATGGAATTAGTTGCAGCGGCTGCTGGCTACTATTATTATAATACTATAAATAATCAGCCTGTTCGTAGTTCATCACCTCATGGAAGAGGATATCTGAATGAAGTGCTAGAAGGAAGTGATGATGTGTCTCGAGAACTATTACGGATGGATAAACATGTTTTTCATAAGCTGTGTGACACTCTCCGACAGAGAAATATGCTACGAGATACAGCTGGCGTTATGATAGAGGAGCAGGTGGCAATTTTCTTAAATATTGTGGGTCATAATGAACGTAACAGGGTAATCCAAGAGCGATTTCAGCATTCTGGGGAAACCATTAGTCGACATTTTAATAATGTATTGAAGGCTATCAAGTCATTGTCACGTGAATTGTTACAACCACCTCCTCTCAATACTCCTCCAGAAGTTCTTAGTAGCAATAGATTTTACCCATATTTCAAGGTACATATCTGCACATCTAATTTCTTTCCTTTTTTATCTTTAGTTCCATCATTATTTGTCATTCAATTGCTTCTCTACATCAGGATTGCATTGGGGTCATAGATGGCATGCAGATCCCTGCTCATGTCCCAGCAAAGGATCAATCTCGATTTCGCAATAGAAAAGGTGTTTTAACGCAAAATATCTTGGCAGCCTGCACATTTGATCTGCAGTTTATTTTTGTTTATCCAGGTTGGGAAGGCTCTGTTACAGATTCACGGGTGTTAAGAGCAGTCCTGGATGATCCAGATCAGAATTTTCCTCCCATTCCTGAAGGTTATACGTGCTACTGTGCTATCTTTTTAATTATATTAAGTTGGGCAGCATGGATAATCTTTTTGTGTGTGGTAACATGGAATTTGACCATAGTCTTGTAATTGGATGGAATATTAATTTTTTTCAAAAAACTTGAAAGCACACTCAATTCTGTAGAGCAAGTTTTGATTAGCAATCTAGCCAACATAGCTTTAGCTTTTCTTGTCTTACATGGCATCTGATTTGATTTCAGTCCATTAGAACTTATATGTCAACTTATATTGTTACAGGAAAGTATTATTTGGTTGATGCTGGTTATGTGAACTTGGAAGGATTCATTGCTCCATACTCAGGAGTTCGGTATCACCTGCATGAATATAGAGGTGCCAATAAATTACCTAGAAGTGCAAGGGAGCTCTTTAATCACCGGCATTATTGTCTTACAAGTGTCATACGGAGGTGTTTTCATGTGCTGAAAACTCGTTTTCCCATTCTCAAACTTACCACCCAATATGCATTCCATGTTCAAAGAGATATAGTTATAGCAGCATGTGTTCTACATAATTTCATCAGACGCGAGGATAGAAATGATTGGCTGTTTTCCAGTGTTGAGGGAGTCACAGTGGAAGACTTGCTCGATCTTGACGATCAACCTGAGCTGCAGTTTGCTTCTACAATACCAGAACAAATTGCTTCAGCCTTTCGAGAGTCAACTGCTGCAGCTATGTGGGAAGATTTCTTAAATAATTGGGATAAATGGTGATTTTTAGCATCATATGTAATTTAGGAGATCGTAGAATTGTGCTGAAGAAGCTTTCATTTTATCTTTTGTTCGTTTCCTACATTAGTTCCTTTTCTGTGTCCATCTTCACAATATCTGTCTACATCTTATTGAGGGAGAAGGAAGGTTTGTACAGATGATTTCCGGTTTGTATGGATGATTTCTTACCTTGGTTAGCAATATCATAAGTAGTTTAACCTAACTTTGCATTAAAGTTGTATCTTTTTGTTCTAATTTTTGGGAAGTCATTTTCCGCGAACTAAGTGGATGGTTCTTAATCTAGTTCAATACATTACCATATTTACGAGGAACCAAAACATAAATCGGTGGATTTGTGTTCATCTTTGTCTGGCAAGGTCGTTGAGGAGTAGAAAACTAGAATGTTAATTTCAGGCAATCATCACAACTTGAACCAGAGCTGAGGCGACAGAAATGGAGAAGCGTTGGCTCGGAATTGAATGGATATGAATAGACTCCCTCACTCCATCCACAAACCAAACACCACACTAAAAACCAGGACTACCTCCTCTTCCATTTCAACAAATAAGCTCTACCTCCCTTACTCCTCACACCTATATTCTTCTTCCTCTTCTTTGCCAATATTGTATGGCTCTTGTTGTCGATCCACACCCCGGTTTCAAGCACTATTGTCGAGTTTGCAAGAAAGGATTCGCTTGCGGAAGAGCGCTAGGAGGCCACATGAGGGCGCACGGGATAGTATCCGATCACGATAATGACCTTATTGACGAGGACGAAGATCACGACCGCGGAAGCGATTGGGACTGGGAGGCCACCGCCGCCGATCACCTGCCTCCGGCTAACAAACGCATGTACGCCTTGCGCGCCAATCCTAACCGACTCAAGAGCTGCCGCGCCTGCGAGAATTGCGGGAAGGAATTCTCCTCGTGGAAATCTTTTCTGGAGCACGGGAAATGCGTGACGGATGATGCCGATGAGTCCCTCGTGTCAGATAATGACGACGAAGAATATGGCGGGGATTCGAATAATTGGTCCAAAAGGAAGAGATCTTTTCGCGCCGAGGTCGGTGGTTACGGCCATTGCCCTTCCAGCGAAGAAATTGATCTCGCCAATTGTTTGATGATGTTGTCCAATGCGATCGTAGATCCTTCATCGGAGGCGGCACCGGAGGAATCCTGTGCCTCTGCTAGCAAAGACGAGGAAAGAGTTAGGAATTATCCTTTGAGCTTCGTCGCCCCTATTTCGTATAGTAGGGCAGCGGCGACGGCGGCGGCGCTGCCCAAAGCTAAGACACCGGCTGTTCCTAAAGGATTGTTCGAGTGTAAGGCGTGCAAAAAGGTGTTCACCTCACATCAAGCACTTGGTGGGCATCGCGCCAGCCATAAGAAGGTTAAAGGTTGTTATGCCGCTAAACTAGACCGAATCGACCACGTTCTGGAAGAAGATCACGAGCTGATCAGCCACGACCAAGTCTTTCCGTCGGCAAAATCAACGACGGTGATGCATTTGATCAATCGCAGTGCGACAACAAGTAGTATTCCCTCCAAACGGAAGCACAGAGGGCATGAGTGCTCCATATGCCACCGCTTATTTTCATCGGGGCAAGCTTTAGGTGGTCACAAGAGGTGTCATTGGATTACTTCGAATTCCCAGGCTGCGGCGGCGGTGGTAAACGCGTCTTCTACGGTTAAGAAGCTGTTTGATGATTCTGATCAGCCACCGTTGCTCGATCTTACCCTCGACCTCAACCTCCCTGCTTCGGATAATCGCGCTGAAATTTACTTGAAGCCATGGATAGGAATGGACCCAAAAGATCAAATTGAAAATAATAATAGAAATAATGGTAATAACAATGATAACGATTATAGAGGTAATGAATTGATGCAGAAAGCGGAGGATGAAGCCGCGGCGGAACAGAGGAAAGTGAAGCTGGCGAAGCTAAGTGAGATGCAGGGCATTAGCATGAACGCCGGTTCGTGGTCGTCGTGGTTGCAGGTGGGAATTGGAACTGATAATAAGGGAGCTGGTGAATCATAAAATTTTTTCCTCAAATGGATTGTTTTTACGGGAGCCTCTTTTTTTTTTTTTTTTGTTAATTATTATTGCTTTTTATTTTTTAATATTGAGTTAAATAAGAGAACAATCTCTTATTTGTTAACTCAACTCACTCTTATATTAAATTGTTTGAATTTAGAAGTTTTTATTTTTATTGTATAAAAATTATTATTGAATTAATTAAATAGTTAATTGTAAAATGTTTATTGCAAATATATCAATCAATGAGTTTAAATTTAGATACTCCTAATGGATTTTGATTTTCAATTAATTAGTTAATTGTCATAATGGGTTATATAGTAGAAAGACAGAAATGAAAGTAGAATAATTATTTTTCATTTTTTTGAATAAGTATTATCCTTGTTATTTATACATTATATTTAACTTTACTCAAAATTTTAATTAAATATTTTCATCTTAAGTAGAAAAAATTAAATTAAAATTATTATTGTTGAATGGAGAAAGTAATAATTTATTAAAAAAGAAAATGATGTTTTTTAACATATTTTGTACTTTTTTAAATAGTCTAAATTTTAAAATTGTCAAAATAATATTAATTAAAAAACATGATGGGGAAATTTTATTAAAAATATTTTAATGATTTTAATATTCAAAAAATACAAAAAGAAATTACAATCCATACTAAAAAAAAGTGTATAATTAAAAAAATGTAATAGTTGTAGTTCTTGCTATTCATACAATGGATCGAAAGAGAAGTGATTTTTTTTGTCTTAAGTGATTAAAAAAAAAAAAGTTTACTAAACCAACTCATCAAGCTGCTTTTCTAACATACAAAAAATAACTTTTTTCCTTTATTAACGAAAGATTGTTATTGATAATCTTGAATTTGTTGCGTGGGTAAAATGAAAATTCTTGTTGGATGAATTTGACTTTGCTGTTGGAAATTTCAAAACCTACACACGAGCAAAAGGAAAGCTCATTAGTGCATGCGTTGTAGGTGGCTCCAGCATAGATACTCTGACGTTTAAGACGGTAATATTTTGGAGGATGAAGGACGAGAGGAGGAGAAAAAATGAAAGAAAATGATGTAGAAAGGAGGGAAAAAAATCACTTTTGAGTTGGGGAAGAAGATCCTTTTTATAGTTTGTCTTTTTGAATGAAAACCTACTGAATATGTGCATCTAACCTACCATATTTGTTAGAGACCTATAAATAAAGAATAGTCATAGTTATGACAATCAATAGAAAGGTGTCACGTGATTATAAAGATAAGAAATATCCCATAATGATTTCTAACATTATTGGGCATGCCTACACTTGTATATGTGCCCCATTATAATTGATACTTTATCTGAAAGGTTCTAAGTTGAAGGTAAAAAGTTAGAAATAAACTTTCTAACCATACTTAGATCAAGATCATTTAGTTATACATATTATACATAGAGTTTCTAATTAGGCTTTGAGATTATAAAAAATTTAACTCAATCACATTTCCTAAAGAAAGTTCTTTTGGTTTGACTTAGAGTGCCCTAGAGAGAGGAAAGCTATTCTTAACATCATACACACTAATGAGGGTTTGCCAAGTGTAGGAAGTGTTTTATTTGATATCAATTATTTTTAAAAAATTTTTAATAAAAAATATAATATTTTTATGTTATTAAAAAATTAAATAAATGTACATGATCATATTATTAATTGAATATTTTAAAAAAGTGCTAACATTAATTAATACAATAAAAAATATATTTTTGATTGAAAACTTTTAAAAAATGACAAGCTTGATTAATTGAAAAATAAGATGTCATATTCTTAATATTTAAAAAAAATTGTGTTTTATTTATATATAATTTAAAAAATAAAAGATACTGAATTTTAGTCCATTAAAATAAATCCATGACACCAATAAGAGTATGATTGACGTGGTACTTAATTTAGGGTATTTAGGGTTAACATAAGAGATTATGCGGTTAACTCTGCGGATGTAAAACCATGACCATGGGTTTGGTTTGGCTTGATGCTTGAGAACGGCTCAAAAGTCGCAAGGCTCGGAGTGGTAACCGACTCAACAAAATCAGAAGAGTCAAGCTACCCTAAACTTGCTGCACTGCCCGCTGTACAAACATTTACCTCTAATGGCTTCCGATTCCAGTTCCAGGTATGTCCCTCTTTCTCATTGTTGTCTGTTTGGTTGCCGAGAAAATCACCACTACGTTCACTACTATTCTTCATTCACTTACATTTCGTAGTCTTTTCTTTACCATTAGTTAGATATTCACACCTTCTCCCGCTCTGATAAATTGTTTCCTTCCCCCCTACTAGATATTCTTCAACCAGACGATTGAGGGCATTCAAGAGGTGGATGAAGTCCCAAGGGATCGAATGGAGCGATGCCCTCGAGTTCATCGACTCCCCGGAAAATGGGATTTCAGTGAGGGCGTCGTATGATTTGAAGGAAGGTGATGTTGTGGCTAAAATACCCAAGAGGGCTTGCCTCACCATTAAGACCAGTGGGGCTCGGGAAATTATCGACTCAGCTGGTTTGGATGGAAGTCTTGGTCTGTCCGTGGCATTGATGTATGAGAAGAGCTTAGGAGAGGAGTCTCCTTGGGCAGGATATCTTCAGCTCTTGCCTCATCAAGAATGCGTGCCCCTGGTTTGGACTGTTGGCGAGGTGGATTCTCTTCTCATTGGGACTGAGTTGCATAAGGTATTGTGTTAGGTGAAATCTGGGTTCGTTCACTTTATGGATATTTTTCGTTTTTGGATTATTCTTACAGTTTCTGGTTCATGATTTACAAACTATGTGATAAAGTTAAAGGATCAGTAATTGGAAAGTGGGTTACTTGTTTATTAATTTGTTTGTCATGCTTTTGTTACTTATCTAATTTATTGTCATGTTTAATGTAACGTTACTGAATCTGAGGTCTGGGAAATATGAAACTAAAATATTTGTAAAATGCCAAAGTTATAATGAGCTTGTTCACTTAGATTTAGTCAGCTACAGTAACAATTCATGTTCCCCTCTCTTAATTTACTTGGTTTTTAAGACTTTGGGTTGATGGCCTATAAGTATAATGCACAGATGCTTCATATAATTTTGTGGCTTGTGAATTGTGTTAAACCCTTTTTGCAGGTTGTTGGCTTGTTGATTTATGTGACATATTTTAGATATGGTATATTTGATTGGCAGTTGACAAGCTTTAGCTTGGTTTATTTGGGCATTGCAAGTTATCATAAAAAAAGGGTTTATCTATGAAATTCAGCATGAAAAGCTAACTTAATGCAGTTCAAAGTAGATTGTCCACTGAATTCCTTCTGTTTGACATTGTTATTTAAGATCATCTTTTATTGTTGGAGAGGCTTTTGCAACTCGCCCCTTAGAATCTTTTGGCAGTGGGATGCTTTCTTCTTGAAGTCTGCTTTGAGCATCGTTTATACATGCTTTCATCTTGAAGTCTGCTTTGAGCATTTTTTATACACTTTTAGGCAGACAGTTAAAGAAGACAAAGCTCTCATATACGAGGACTGGAAAGAAAATATTCTGCCTCTTATGGATTCAGCTGCTCAAAGTCTTAATCCAAGTTTTTTTGGCATTGAAGACTACTTTGCTGCAAAAAGTCTTATTTCTTCTCGGTCTTTTGAGATAGATGAGTACCATGGATTTGGGATGGTTCCTTTGGCAGATCTGTAAGTATGCCTTGTTTGTAATGATGGTATCTAGATTATTCATTTACCTATTATCATGTTTCCTGGACAGTATGTATGTGAAAGCTTTGGGGATTTTGTTTTTCACCATTAATTCCATCTAATAGACTAATACAAAGTTCCATGCTTTAATTCTAAAGAGTGTAGCAAGGGGCTAGCTTCTAGGTGAAGCTAGTGGTTTGTTTAATATAATGATGCATGGTTCTAAAATTAAAATCTATCTTTAGTTTTGGCAGTGGCAACAGATATAGGAAATACCAAACTTTTGTTCTTAATCCTCTTATATGCATATACTTGTCCCTCAATATAAAAATAGTTGTTGGAGCTTACTGTTTTGTTTCATGTGCAGATTTTAATTTTCTTTTCTATTACTAGTAAATTGAATGAATATGTTGCTTCAGTTTCTTGTCTGAACATTGTAAGTCTTTAGTTAATTGGATTCAGTCATTTATCCAATAAATTTTAGATTTAATCACAAGACTGGGGCTGAGGATGTACATTTCACCTCTGTATCATCTGACGATGAAACTGACAATGATGCTGATGAGGTTAACAGTGAAACTGATGTTCATGTCAATACTGTTCATGGTGAGAAATTAACTAAAAATTTTGACTCGGACAAGAATGAGTCAGCTGCTGCTATCACTGGTGATAATACTGATTCCAGTCACAGTTCGGAGTGTTCCTCAGTTTCAGGGGATGGCCCCATGGTGTTGGAAGTTATTATGGTGAAAGACGTCAAAGCAGGAGCAGAGGTCAGTATATTTCCCTACATATAGAGATGTTCAAAACATTGGCCTTTTCAACTTGGTTTTGCTTATGGTTATGGTGTCTTGAATAATATCAAGCTCTTGTATGACATACTTTGGATCTGCAACTATTAGGTTAATTATTGTGTAGAAAAGGCCTTCTTGTTGATTAGGCTTTTATTGAACCACAAGGTCTAGTTTCTCCTTTTAAATAATGAATCACAAGAACAATTTAGTAGAGCATGATTGAGTGCTGGATAAGTAGCAGTAGGTAGTTGGTATTCAACTAGCCCAAGTAGAGCAATTTTATTGGTTGGCCTCAAGAATGTCTTAATAAGGATAGTAGATTTGCATTGGCTGCCCTGAACTGTTCTACATAGCTTCTCAAGAATATTAGAATTTATTTTGCATGATTTGACTATTTTAAAATGTTCTCGGGATAATATTCATATCATTTGACATGATTTTTAGGGCTTATTTAACTCTCTGTTCTTTCAGTGAATACTGTGTTTCTTTATAATATCAGGCCTTAAAACACTCATATCTCTTTTATAGTTTGTGAACTTAAAGAATAGGAAAACATTTCTTCAGTTTGTTTGAAGTGTGGTATTTAATGCTAGATAAAACATTTTATCTGGTTTGATAGATTTTCAGTAACCAGGTGAAATTCAGTTTTTGACATGTAAAAAGATGTTTTGCTTACCCTAGCTCTTAATTTCTTGAGTAATTCCTTTTGCTATTATCTTAGGTCTTTAATACATATGGGTTGTTGGGCAATGCTGCATTGCTTCACAGATATGGATTTACTGAGCCTGATAATCCATATGATATTCTGAACATGGATTTGGAATTGGTGCTTCAATGGGGTTTGTCTTTGTTTTCTAGCCGGTACTGTAGAGGCCGGTTGTCCCTTTGGAGAAGATTAGATTACTCTGGATGTGTAAGCCAGAATTCTGAATATTTTGAGATCTCATCTGATGGGGAACCCCAAATCGAGCTGCTGGTTTTGCTATACATAATTTTATTACCTGAGGATTTGTATCGCAAGTTGGATCTTACCACATCAACTGCTGGCAACACCAACGGATGCATAGACATGATACTGACAAAGAAACACAACTCTACACAAGATAATAGTTCAGAAATGACCAAGGATTTGTTGCTGACAGAAAGTGTCTGCAGCTCTCTCTTGGAACTTGCAGATATGCGTGAGAGTTTTTATGGTTCCAGTTCCATAAACGATGATATTGAAGCATTGAAGAGATGCTGCCCTGTAGAGAGAAAGCTGTATCATGCTTTGATGCTGCGTATAAGCGAGAGGAGGATCCTTGAAAAACTAAGGAATTATGTTGTCTCCGCTGCAGGCCGAGCCAGATCACCCAAGACTGCAAATACAGCCTCAAGAAAGAAACGGTTGAAGAAGAAATGAACTATCATTTCAAGTTGACTTCAATTATGCAATTTTGAATAACTTTTATTTTTACTTTTTATTTATTTATTTTTTCTCCACTTGAGCTATAGGCATTCATGAATCTTCAGCTATCATGCACTATCTAGGTGAAAATTTCGTGGGTTAAGATGGGCTTTCTTTCGTAATTCATTGCTTTGCTCATTGCCTCATTGGATTATTTTTCATTACTTGGACCCAAATCACTCGTTCTGCATGCCGTTTATTCTTTATTGTCTTGGTTAAGTTTGTTTTGATACTTCCTCTTTTTTTTTTTTTTTTTTTTGGTTCTTCCACTTTTGGGTTGCAGTAAGTATAGGAAGGCGACGGTTTGCGAGGAGAGAAGGGAGAGGAAAAAGTTATCTCATTTTGATAATAAAAATTTGAGAGAGGGATTTATTTATTTATTTTTTATTTTAACATAAAAATAATATAATTATAATATTATACAAAATTATAAATTTATAATTATAATATATTTTTATAAAAATCATAAATTTAAAATTTTATGTATTATTTTATTTTATATATTTTTTTATTTTAGTCCTTGGCCTTCATAAAGAAAAAAAGACTGCTATTTGGCAAAAGTTC